GTGTTGGTCCTCCGTACGTCAGAAGCCTGATAATCATGTATTCATTCATATCAGGTGTGTTGGAGCAGAGAAACAGGTAAAGCATGCAGGGTTTCTGCTGATTCAGCATTTCTCCACACAGAAAGATCAATATTAGCTCGACTGAAGATCTAAACTGTTTGTGAAACTGAAGCATAAAATTTCAGTTTTTAAAACTATTTGGAGTAGTGTTAAATGGGCCCCTCTATTCATTTATGATTTAAAATATTGTTTCCATTTAGCTTTTTTCTTGTTGTGTGTTTTTGTTTGTTTCGACACAGAGAATCGACAGTTTGTGTCTCAGTACATGTGAAACTACAGCATTAAAGCACTTTATTTAAATGAGTTTCATCACACAAAGCTAAAGTCGTCTCAGTGACTTTATTCATACAATGACTGAAGAAATTTGGATTTTTGAAGTCAAAAAAGTTTTGYTACTAAAGCTGCTAAAAGCTTCGTGCACTCTATTTATTACATTATTTTTTAGTTTGTTAGAAAAAAGCTTCTGAAAGTTCTTTAGCCCAAAATGAGATGGTGATCTACAAAATCTACCAATTCTTTGTAGATATTAACTGCAGGAGTCGGGAACCATTTTCAGCCAGCTGCCACACAATTACAAAAAAAAAAAGATTTAATTAAAAGCTCTAATGGAGAAACATGAATCAACAGTGGCTTTTCTGTGWTCAAATATCAGTCATTTATACCGTATCTGAGCCAGGATCACGCTCAGTGACAGGAGTTTAGCAGAAGTGGTGAAGCCCCAGCATGAGATGAGATCTGGAGACGTTCACAGGAGCTGTAAAAACAAAAATGTGTGTGCTGCTGAAGGCTGCATTTTTCAGGAGAAAAAAACAAATGATTATTTTTGGTGTATTTTCAGTGTTTAGTGRGAGGTGATGTAGAAGTCTAATCTGGAAGCTTCAAGGACGCTGTGGATCAGCAGCAGGCTGCAGCAGACTCTCACTGTAAAAAAAAAAAATTACCTCTCAGGACGTAAAATATGACGTAACTTACATAAAAAATTTGTTTTTACTTCACAGGATGTAATATTTTTTAACGTCCTGAGATGTAAAAACGTCTCAGGATGTAAAAAAAAGGTTTTTTACATCTCAGGACGTAAAATGTGACGTAATTTATGTAAAAAAATTTACTTCACAGGATGTAAATTTTTATTTTTACTTCTCAGGATGTAAAATATGACGTAAGTTACGTCAAAAAAATTTTTTTACTTCACAGGATGTAATTTTTTTTACATCTCAGGAAGTAAAATATGATGTAGTTTATGTCAAAAAAAATTTTTACTTCACAGGATGTAATTTTTTTTACATCTCAGGATGTAAAATATGACGTAATTTACGTAAAAATATTTTTTTACTTCACAGGATGTAATTTTTTTACATCTCAGGATGTAAAATATGACATAATTTACATAAAAAAATTTACTTCACAGGATGTAATATTTTTTTACATCCTGAGATGTAAAAACGTCTCAGGACGTAAAAAAAAGGTTTTTTACATCTCAGGATGTAAAATATGACGTAATTTACGTAAAAATTTTTACTTCACAGGATGTAATTTTTTTACATCTCAGGACGTAAAATATGACGTAATTTACGTCAAAAAAATTTTTACTTCACAGGATGTAATTTTTTTACATCTCAGGACGTAAAATATGATGTAGTTTACGTCAAAAAAATTTTTACTTCACAGGATGTAATTTTTTTACATCTCAGGACGTAAAATATGACATAAAAAAATTTACTTCACAGGATGTAATTTTTTTACATCTCAGGACATAAAATATGACGTAAGTTACGTCAAAAAAATTTTTACTTCACAGGATGTAATTTTTTTACATCTCAGGACGTAAAATATGACGTAATTTACGTTTAAAAAATTTTACGTCCTGAGATGTAAAAAAAATGTTTTTACATTATGTTCTGAGATGTAAAAAAAATACTTTTTTACATCTCTGGATGTAAAAAAAAACAAACTTTTTTACATCCTGAGGTGTCAAAAAGTTTTTTTTACATCTGCAGACAGAGTCTGCTGCAGAGCTGCTTCTCCTCTCCAAAAACATCAAACTGAAAATAACCATCTGTCAGATTCAGTACTGTACATGACACATTAGATTTTCTCATTATGTTCTTCATATTTTTAAGAAGCAGCAACTTTAAACAACACTCAGACAAAATCTTACAAATGTTTACAAAAAGAAATGTTTAAAAAATGATAACTGTATTTTCATTAGTTTCTAACTGTAGCATCAGATTTACTAAATGAGTGTGGCTCTCAGAAAACTTTCTAACAATCTAAATATGTTCCATTAAAGAAAAGGTTCCCACCCCTCARGCTGCTGGTCTCTCTGCTCAGACTCCCCTCCATCCTGAGAGCAGGGGTTCTTGTTCTGGACCTTATTATGTTTGGTTTTTCTCAGTTTAGGAACGTTTCAGTTTGACAGATTTCTCTGAGCATCAATGATATTTTCAGCAGTCCTAGTCGCAGTCATTTTTTCTTGTTCTTTCAGTGGAGAGAACCCATCTCATGCTGGTTTAAACCTCTTTCAGGGCTGGGAGGAAACAACAAACATGTTATTATTGTAACACTTTGTAAATGTGAGAACCACTGTTCCATCAGCTGCCTTCAGAAACATCCCTCACTGAGGTGTATGTCACTTCCTGTCTGGTGTGTGTCACTTCCTGTCTCATTCCATGTGTCCCTGCTGTCCCCACAGCTTCAGCGTCTCTAACCGTCTGTGTTTGTGTTGTGCCCAGAGGGCTGCCCAGGGCTCTGCAACAATAACGGGCGGTGCACCCTGGAGGCCAGCGGGTGGCACTGCATCTGCCAGCCAGGCTGGAGAGGAGCTGGCTGTCATGTGGCCATGGAGACACTGTGTACTGATGGCAAAGACAATGAAGGAGGTACTGCTGAACACACACTCCTGAACACACACACTCCTGAACACACACACTACTGAGGAAAACACACTTTGGTTGAATAAATCATTAAAMGCTGAAGTTTGACTGAAGGTGATYAAGGTACCTTCGTTGGCAACAAGTTTCATTATCGATTCGTTATGTCGCGTGATTTATGCGTCCCACGCCATGTTGCAGAGCTGATTACGTCACCTGCACAGCGTTGTCGAGACTGACTGAGCTAAATAAAGTTTAGGACGAAAAAAAACTCTACCTGTGAAGATCCGCCCTCTGTGAGACCCTCGAGTGAAAAGCAGAGACTTCACACTTTAAATTAGATTATATTTCAGACAGTTCACTCAACTGATACATTGATAAGGCTTTTACTCATTATAGTTTGACAAAATGCAATTTTTGTTAACATTTTAGTCAAAGCACTATATTTGCCTATTTCTCCATTCACCACTTTTGGACTTAATCCTCGTTTCGATGTGATGGGTCACATTTTATTCTACAAAAAATTCAGGATTTTTTTTACTGTATTCTGTGTACTTTTTAACTATTTTTTGTCATAAAAACATTTCACTGCAAGTTGAATTTTGTGTATGTGATAAATTTATTTTATTTGATTGCTCCCATTTTTACCTTCTGTTGCTAACATTTTATGAAGGCAATGCATACCACATACAGAAAAAGCTATTGAACATATATAATTTTGCATTTT